GCAAATTCAGAAACCATATCTTAAGACTGTAAATACTCTTGAAGAGATCTGTTGATATTGACAGCAGATTAATGTTTTAACATTCAAATTTCAATTCAAAAACTGCTTCTTAACTGGATACTATAATAAATGTAAGTACATAGGTTAATTGCTTTGCTAAATATGTCATCAACAAAACTGTTAATGTATTACGCAAAATCTTCTTTGACATTTACTCTAAGCACCTTTAATACTTTTCTAAACATATCAAAAGGACATTAAACCGCACCAAGAAAAAAGGATAGAACAGCTAACATCTTTCTTATCTTAAAACATGAAACATTGTCTTATAACCACATACAGTTAGTGTCCATATTTGCTAATAACTATAACAGCTGCAAAAACCTGAATTTCTGTTGTTGTCACATACTAATGTTGTCATACTAACCATAAAGTTTTGAAGAACTTTTATTTGCAGAGTTTGTTATAAACATAAATTAAAATTACATAGTACAGATATTACAAAAAAAAAAGAACAGTTCTTTTTAAACAGCTTTTAAATCACCAGATTGTTAGAAGTACTAAGAAACTTTTTGAACAAATTTTCAAATGAATTTTATCAAATAAGTTTTGGGCAAAAAAAATTCCAGTTTTTCTAACGACAATATGGTCTCAGTAATTTTAATCACTTCATTTCACGACTTTTTTTTTCTTATCGACGGTTATGTAGTTTTTATAGCTGAACTGATTTCTTCGTTATCCCACTTAATAGACTTTAAAAGATCATTTAAATGAGTGCAAATAATTGGCAAGGATAATCCGTCAAATCAGTACAACCTTAGAATAATGCATTATTGTTGGACAAAAATATAATTATATCAGACATTCATAATGAGCTGTTATTATTGGTAAAATCAAATTGTAATCTGATAATGCGAAATTTATTGCCGACTTTTTTCAGAAATAATTGTGCCACGTGCCACTAATCAACAAATCTGATCGATTGATACACGTGTTTTTTTTTTGTTTCCAATTATGATTCAGGAAGTGTCTAGCTGCTTAGACTAGAGTAAAATTAGTCGCTGCTATATAAACTAGTGACTGCAAAATTGTTTCAAAGTACAAGTTAAAACGACTTCATCTATCCCACACTCGGATGCAGCAGTATCACAGCTAACAATGTGACACAAATCAAAAATTTGCACCAATTTTTTTTCATAAAAGTTCACAAATTTGAAGAAAACATTTTGAAAAGTTTAAAAATTTATCATTGCTTTAGCATTTTTAATAATTTTTATTTTTTAGAAAACACTTAGCTGTCAATAAAATGTAGCTGAGAATAAATGAAAGTTACTAAAATACTTCAAGACTTCAACCCATCAGTTTTTCTTCAAATAAATCCACCATCTAAAGCTTTATTACCTTAAATAAAATTGTTACTCAAAATTTTTGATTAATTTAGAGTACTAAGTTTATTTTTTTATACTGCTAAACTGTTTTCACTTATCATCTTGTTTATTTTATTCTGCAAGAATTCTTCTTCTTTGTTTACTTCTTAACCTATTTCAGTAACTTTTTTGCCGTTAAAATTTGTTTAGGATACCTTTGGTTTTGTTTTTTTACTGTTTATAAACCTTTCTTCACAACTCTTATCTTCTTTCTGAAAAACCTTTACCAAGCAAAATTTATAGACTTCAGATCTAACTACTGTTATCTTCAAAACCAAACTTGTCTAACCAGTATCAGATTATTTACTGTGATGTATTACTAAGTCTTTGAGCTACAAAGCATAAGTTCCTGACAAGTTACTATCAACTTGACTGGCTTAGGCAGCTTAGTGTAGACCACCGTAGAACCATTTTAAAGACACCTTGGTCCAGAGCGTTAAAATATGCCAAAGGTTATACTTTAGTACAATTCTTGATATTGCAAATGATCTTTTCTGCTGTGATTTCATGTCTTTAGTAGTGAAACTAAGATGGAGCAAAATTTTAATCATTTATTTTTAATTTTCTAGGTTATAAAGATTATGTATGACATTATTACACTGTTTTCAATAATGACTCTTTTCTAGCTATTTTTCAGACAACTATGTTCAAAAACTTTGATTCACATTTTCGCACTTGTAAGACAAAAGATAGTTTTTAATTTTTTTTTTTATCAAAAATGAACATTTATAAATTGTAGATTTTTAAATTTTATAAACTTTGAAAACTGTGAAAAGCTGAGTTAACTAAAGTAAAAACAAAGAAAAAAATTTAGAATTAATGTGCCAGAAAATTACACCTGTAATTCATCAATAAAACTTGAAAGACATTTAGTTTTCAGATTAATAAAAGTTGATCACAGTTCTGCAAGAGAATGTTTTGAAAGCCATATTTGCTTGTCAAAATTCTTTAATTAGTATATCTATAAATATTTTCGACGATGATACGGGATAAAAATTGACTAACTGTCAGAAGTAATCTCTTACTGTAGAAATTTGGCAAGTTTAATTGTGTTGAAAAATTGGCCCAAAAATTTGATGCACTTTTAACATATTACCAAAAACTATTTTGGCAAACTTTTTTTAATGTACTTTTTTTGGATTGTGTTCCAAAATTATCTGAAAGTTTTTCTTGAAAAAAAGGAAAATTTTTTGACAACAGTTAAAATGGCAAGACAATTATTGTAGTTTAAAAAATTGATCTAAAAATAAGCATTCAAAAAAGCACTTAAGTTCAACATTTGACATAATAACCGCATTTAAGCACATTATGTTTGCTATTTTTGTTCGTTACCTGTGAAAAAGATTTACATCATCATTCGATGCAAAAAGAAAACTTGACTGTTCTTAGAAATAGTAAACAATTGAACAACTTAAATCCATAATTCCTGCAAGACAGCTGTAAATCTCACATATGTAGACTGAAAACCCACAAGTTATAGCAACAAATCAAGGTAGTGTTTTGTAAAAAATAGTAGTTTAAAGAAAAATAACGAGTATCTAGAATTAATGTATAGAATATTCTGATAAAAATAACTGAGAAAAACTGCGAAAAATGATAACCAAAACATTTTTGGTGTCACCGGAACCATCGTTTAGCTTTAATGTCCTGAAGTTTGTCAGCGACACTTGTGACATCTATTAATCTTTGTAGCATTCTAATAAAATCCTTTATACTGGTTTCTTCCTCGAGTAACTTTTGCAAAAGTAATAATGATATTAAGCAGAAAAACTTATCTAGGCTCTCTAAAAACTATTCACCTAGTAGAATGAGTTTTTTGGAGTGAAAAAGAACAGTTCCTTCTTGATGCCAACCGTGAGCAACGTTTTCAAGGCCCATTTCAGCAAATCAAAAAAAAAAAAAAAAAAAAAAAAATTTT